GAGGGAGGGAGGGAGGGAGGGAGGGAGGGCGAGGGGGGGTGTGTGCCGCCGCCGGGCCTGCCTCAGCCTCAGCCTCTCTCCCTCTCCCCCCCCCCCTTCTGCAGGGCGTCCCCGGAGGAGGTGGGCGGCGCCTACCGGCTGCTGCTGGGCCAGCTGGCGGCCGAGCACGCCGAGGTGCGGCTGGGCGCCTTCCGCGTCCTGGAGCAGCTCTTCTGCCGCTCGGCCGCCTTCCGCGCCCGCGCCGTGGCCGACCTCCCCGAGCTCCTGGCGCTGACCCTGGCCACCGACCTCGACCGCCCGCTCCCGCCGCCCGCTCCCGCCGCCCAGCAGCTGAGGGCCGCCGCCCTGCGGGCCCTGCGCGACTGGCACCGCCGCTACGGCACCGCCTACCCGGGACTCGACCTCGCCTGCCGCTTCCTCCAGCGCAGCCAGAAGGTAGGCGGCGGGGTGGGGTGGGGGGAGAGCCGGTGACCGAGGACGGAGCGGTAACGATAACAAGAGTATAGGAATGATAAAGTGGTCAGGGTGGTTCATCCTTAACCGCTTAACATCAATCAGGGATAAAAAGAGTCATAAAATGGGAACTCAAAAAGTGCATTCTGTATCGCTGGTGCAGAAAGATCAAGGTGGTTGGCTGTGGCCCTGTTCACACCGGCATTTGCGGCAGGAGAGGCACCAATGTCCGGCGGAGTATATGGGCACGATCACAAGGACACATCTGGCAAGTGTAGCACACCCATCGCCGACTGGTAGCATCCGCCCGAAGAAAAATGGTTTGCTATGCGCCGTCGATGGAATACCTACATGTGATCACTCAAGCGTGCTCTTGACAGGCGCCAACAAACAAAACCCCACTTTGCTGCTGCGGCAGCATCTGATCTCGCGCCAGTGCAAAAAGCCACACCCTTGCGGGGGCATTATCTGACCGCGACCTGTGCAGAAAAGAGCAAGAGTCCAGCAGCACCTCATAGACTAACAAAAATTGTGGCAAGAGACATTCAGATGTAGTTTGTGTGGAGGTAGGGGTTAAGAATAACAGGCTACTCTCTGGGAGACCCAGGTTCAAATCCCCACTCATGCCATGGACGCTCACTGGGTGACCTTGGGCCAGTCACACACTCTCAGCCTCACCTGCCTCACAGGGTCGTTGTGAGAAGAAGATGGCAGAGAGGAGGACAATGTAAGGCGCTTCAGTTCCCCATTGGGCAGAAAGGTGGGCTGTAAATGAATTAACTAAAGAAACCCACGTTTGACATACAAAGAACAGTGTATACTCTTAATGTTCTCTTTTTACACAATCCAGGATACATATTGATTGCTCTTTTTAGGTGGACTTTGAAGATATAGGTGCCAGAACTCTAGTTGAAAGAAGAAGGAATGAAGATAGACAGAAACGATTGGATATTATTTACAAAAATAAAGCCCAGAGAGCTGGAAAAGAGCTGGAAGGTAAGTTTGTGTGCAGGAGCAATATCTTGTCATAGAAGTCGGCCTGCTGTACCACTCACCACCAACTGGCTCACAGGCTCACGGGTGGCTCTTGGCATTCTTTCCGGCTTGCATAGTCAAAGGTCAGATACGTCCTTAGTGAGGTTGTGATCTCAAACAGAAAATGACAAAAATGGAAAGAAGAAGGGCAGGAATGCAGAACCATGGTTGCAGTTGGGACAATCCAAAAGCCAATGGTGCAGTTATCAAAATGGCTTCTGTGCACAGTTCAAACCCCAAGCAGAGCCTCGTAAGGATGTCTCAGCCAGAGTGCTTCTCTTTTCCCTGTAGAGCAGGATTTCTTCTGTCTCGTTGACTCCCTGCGGGAGAAATTGTAGCTGGCTAGAGTGTTAACTTGGATCATGCTGATGTCGTCCTTGCTGTCGCCTGCAAGTCTTGCCTCTGTTTGCCTCCCAGTTCTTTGAATCACTTCTTGTAGAGTGAAAAGGCAGGAGAAAGTGGTTTTCTTCGTGGTTTTGCGGAACCTTTAGTTTGGCAGTAAGACTTTTATTTTTTGAGGAAACAAATTTGCATTGCATTTAAGAGTATATTGAAATTAATTTTGTTGTGGGTGGCAGGGTCCCTGTAAGACAAGAAGTCATGTAGAGTGCTCACTGATGATCTGTCTTGTATACTCATTCCTCCACGGTTGGGTACGGGGTGGTGCTGGGAGGGACAATGTCCCCAAGGTTCCCGCTTGAGTGCGGGGTTTTTATTTTATTTATTTATTTGTAGTATTTTTATCCCGCCTTGCCTGCAAGCAGGCTCAGGAGGCACTTCTCTCCCTGATGTTTTTTTTACATCTATATGCACCCCCTCGTCCAGCTAGTGCAGAGTTTCAGGGTAAGGTGTCCTCAATATGCTGGTCAATACAACAAGATACAAACAGGGGTCACAGTGTACAGTGACATATCAAAAAACAGGAAATCACTGTGATCAATGACAATGACACATTTAATAAATTTTACATAGAAACAAAGTCCAACAATTCATTTACTCAATATTACATTAAAAACAGAATCCAACTTATTCATATTCACAACAGAGTATAGCATTTCCCTCACATTACTCAATGAGTACACCGGTTTTTACACTCAATATGCTGGTGACACCCAGTTATTTCTGTTGATGGGCAGCTGGACAGCTACCATTCCCAGGAATCTAACTGAGGGTCTGGATGCTGTGGTAAGATGGTTAAAGCAGAGTTGGCAGAAACGGAATCCAGGTGAGACAGAGGTCCTCGGTCGGGTTGTCAACTCCTGACTCTTGAGGGTGTGCGTCTGTCACCAGCACAGACTGTCAGGAGTTTTGGTGTGACTCTGGGCTCCTCCTTGTCTATGGAGACCCAGGTTACAAAGGTTGCCACACTGGTGTTTTCTCCAACTGCGCCAGGTCAGGCAACCTAGCCATGGTGATCCATGCAACGGTCACGTCCAGGATAGACAACTGTAATTTGCTCAATTTGTGAGGGATCTGGAGACCAAGTCTTATGAGGAAAGGTTGAAGGAGCTGGGTCTGTTTAGCCTGGGGAGGAGACGACTGAGAGGTGATATGATAACCATCTTCAAGTACTTGAAGGGCTGTCATATAGAGGATGATGTGGAGTTGTTTTCTGTTACCTCAGAAGGTCGGACCGGAACCAATGGGTTGAAATTAAATCAGTAATGTTTCCGGCTAAACTTTAGGAAGAACTTCCTGACAGTTAGAGCCTCAGTGCAACAGGCTTCCTCGGGAGGTGGTGAGCTCTCCTTCTTTGGAGGTTTTTAAACAGAGGCTAGATGGCCATCTGACAGCAATGCTGATTCTGTGGACTTGGGCAGATCATGAGAGGGAGGGCAGGAAGGGTTGCCTCAGTGCTTAGTTCTTGTGGCCCTTTCTTACACGCCCAGGGAAATGCTGATTGCCACTTTGGGGTCAGGAAGCAATTGTTCTCCAGGCAGTTTGGTCAGGGATCCTGGAGATTTTTTTTTGTCATCTTCTGGGCGTGGAACAGCAGTCACTGCGGGTGTGGAGGGGAAGGTATTTGTGAATTTACTGCCTTGTGCAGGGGGTTGGACTGGATGACCCCGGAGGTCCCTTCCAACTCTATGATTCCATAATTCTATGAAGGAGGCTAGGGGAGTTGACCTGCAATCTGGTATAAGTTTTTTGTTTTTATTTATCAATCTGTTTTTAATGGTTTTAATGTTGTTTAATTGTTATTATTTTGTTGTCACTTGATAGACATGTCCCCAGAGATCGAAGCTGTGCTGACAGAGATGGAGAATTGCTTTCGGCTTCTCTTGCCTGATCTGTTTGACTTCACGGTGAATGATATGGAAACCACGGCTTGGAGGGTTGCTGAAGGTGACCAGTCTGCCCATTCACCTGCACAGGTGGTTGGTCACCCGGGCCCTTTCCTCAGACAGGTGGAAGACGAGCAGCCCTGTTGCAGCAGGGACCTTCCTTCCATCTCTTGCGCCCCAGAAGGTGATGACAGAGACTCTGGTAGTGAAACAGAGGCAGACCCTGGCAGGGAAGGTTCTCTAACATCCAAACTGACTTCTGGTTGCCTTGGTGGGGATGATGACAACGACGACGCAGCCTTTGTTCGGCATCATGGTCTCGGCTCTCATAAATACACTCTCAATCTTGAAATCTCTACAGGTATCTGTACTCAGTTTCCTGCCAGCGTTAATTACAAGTGCTGCTTCTACTTGCAGGTTGTTTGGCAGCTTTCACTAGGTAACAAATGAGCTTAGTATCATGTGTCATCAGCAGGCGGTAAAACTTTTCCAGGTGTTTGCACCCAGTGCTGGATATATGAGACAGCGTAGATGTTCCATTGGTATGCCACTCAACCCTGCTGCATAACAGTTACCATGCTAGAGCTACTGACAGTGGTCTTGGAACTGTGCAGCTTCAGGCCAATTTGTAATCTTGTTTTAGTTAGGAAACTGGTTTGATTTATTCCCCCCGTTCTTCCAGTTCATCTTTTCTAAGCAGGAGACACGAGCGTGCAACTGCCTTGGACTTCTCAGCGGTTCTTGTACCACTCACCATGCTGTGTTTTCTGGTCCAGGGGCAGAGGTGATCATGGGGGCGGAGCACGGTGCTCCAGTGGCCCCGTGCTGTTCGGCTGCCCTGGCCCTTGTGTCGAGGGCTTTAATGTGCCATTCATAAGGCACATGATGTGGCAGCAGAGCTCTGTGCCTCTCTTCAGCAGATTTAGGGAAGGCATTGGATGTTCTGAACAAGTGAATGTAGCATGATGGGTAAGGGGCTCAGTCCACACAAGATTGAGGTGCTGTTGGTAGAAACGTGAAGCAGTAATGCACCATTAAAGGCGTTATCAGTGCTGCAATGTTTAACTCAGTATTTAAGTATGCTGGCAATCCTAGCGATACAGTTTAGGCCATGTGAGAGGTAGAAAAAAATAAAAGTGGAACAGAGAAAAAAAATTGGGGAGAGAAACAAAGATGCTTCATTAGCACATGTCTGAAGTGCAGTCATTCGTAGCTTGGGATTTTTTTTTTCCTGTCTCCGGGGTTGGGTATATTCACAGTTTTGCTGGGAGAAAACCAAGACATGTATTCTTTTATGTACTGCACTGTAAGTACTGCTTGGGGAGAGACATCTCCTGTTCTGTTCCACTCCCCTTCCCTGTGGACTAGTTTGTTGCTGCCTGGCAGATTTGTTGTATTTGATGATGTACTGCTTTTCCCACACTCAGAGGAGAAGAGTAGGGTGAAATATATCCAAAGAAGTCTAAGCTTATCTTGCAATTTCCCCACAAATTTCTGTGCTCAGAACTCCCCCCCCCCCAACTCTCCTCCATGGCTTTAGAATTTCCAGATATTATTCATCTTTACCTACAAGAGACAGTTTCTATGGTGTGATGCTTTATCGTAACTGTCTTCCTGTATTCAGTCTCTTGAGTTTTAGGTGCCAACCAGGTAAAATATGTTAAGTGAATAAAAATAGCATATTTTGACTGTCAGTTAAGATTACTGAAAATGTTATTGCTGGAGTTAGCAGTTGGATGTTAACTGATGAGTTGCATTGTTTGTTTTGATTTTTGTGAATTGTCCCTCCGTCATTGGTTAGCGTAAAAGTCCTGAATAACTTGCCTTCCTGTCATGGCTCCTTTTGACTATTCCTCGCTAAGGAAAGGGGGGCTTTGGGGCTGGGGAGGTGGAGATGATGGGTGTTACGATGAAGGGCTCTGGAAACCACTTGGGACCCCCTTTCCGGGGTTTGCCTTGGCTTTTCCCTCTGAGGTCGCAGGGGCCTGCTTGGTCAAACCTGCTTGGCCAGTGGAGGAGGCTGCCGGATAATTCTGAGTTGATGCATTTCTGTCAGTTTTGTAGCCTTTTAGTTTTTTGAATGAAACCTGATTTTTAATTTTCTTCTGTTGCGGATAGATGTGAAACTGCAGGAAAATGAAGACAACATGGCCATAATAAACACTGTTACAGATGCTCATAAACTCATCAAAAACAAATTCTTGCCATCTGTACAATCTTGGATTCAGGTCAGGAAAGACTTTTCTATCAACTGTGAACGTGACACCCCCCCCCCCAATTGTCTGCTGTCGTTATAAGCGTAAACACTGATGAATTACCGTGTAGTCCTAGTTTCCTGGGGTTTGGTGTTGACTTCTGTGTTTCTGAATCAAAGCGCAGACTGTCTCCAAGCATCACAGGACTTTATAATGCATGGCTGGAGTGCAGCACACTTTCTCTCATGCTTTACTTCTGTGCTGAATTCTTTTTGCCAGCGGATGTTTCCCAGCTGCTCATTTCCATGTGTTCTGGCTTTGATCAGGTCAGTCTTTGTGAATTCGTCCTTAGAAAAATGCATCTGTGTGGGCTAGAGAGGGGGGAGGGGGAATTGGATGTCCTTTCTTCAGCGGTGCTGTTCAGCTCTGTAGTCTTAAGTGCCAGTGTAGTAATGCCTGTGGAAGGGAGGGAAGGGGAAATATCGTACAGTCCTTGGAGACTGTTCCTTCCACTCGCTTAAAAGAGCCATTGCTGGCAGAGATGGAAAAGTACATGACTCTCAGGATTTCTGAGTTCTGCTTGGAGAGAAAGGGGTTGGTACTTTCTTCTAAACCTTACTGTTTCCTTTTTTTTTTTGGTCACTTTCTCTTGTCTCTTTTAGTCCCCTAAAGTACCGTCTAGTCCAAGGGTCTTCTATGTCCTTCCTTTTCCCACAGAGAAAAAGGCCCTTTCCCTAACGAGTAATTCTGCAATACCCCATCTGCATGAAAGACGTGTTGAACGTGAACCCCTTTGCCACGATTCAGGGTCTGAGCCGGGTCTGTGAAAGGGCTTCCACTCCCTAAGCATTAGCGCAGTCACTGCTCACGTGGCGCCTGCAGCAGAAGTGTCCTGCCACCATTGGGGGGAGGGGGAGCGAGTAAGTGGTGTTCTTCCTGCCAGGTGATGGTGCCTATATGCTTCTTTTGAGGAAAGGAGCCGCATAATTTGTGGTTAGAGTGGGAGAGCTTCTTCTCTGCCAGCACCTGCTGGCGTCACAGGTGGGCATCTTCAGCTCTTCTGCACTGGGGGAATGAGTGATGGAATGACCCCAAGGCCAGGTATGACAAGAGGAGCATTCCTTCCTGAAAGATGGGGAAGAACTTGGCCGTCCCTGGTCTCCGTTCTGAAGCTCACTCCTCTTTCCCACTGACTTTGCAAACTGGTGCGATTTATTGTTTATTTAGTTAAAACATTTTTATGCCACCTTTCCACCTGCACAGGGTCCACAAGGTGGCAAACATAAAAAATGTTAAAACATTTGAGCAATTAAAAATACGGTTAAAATTCAGTTCTGTTAAAAACACATAAACAAGGAACACTAGAAAACCCAACAGGACTGAGTACAAATCTGAGAATCTCTGGAGTAGAAATGGTGGTGGTGGGGGCATTTCTGCAAGGACAACAGAGCCAGTGCAATGTATTAGTGCCCAGCAAGGCTCCCGCTAAGCTGCAGAGTCTTGTGAGCAAAAATTCTACTTTGTGAGCTACTGGCATTAAGGTTGTGAAGCAGGCGATTTGGCTACTGCATGAATGAGTTTGCTCTGGAACCATCCTTCCTGAGCTAAGACAACAATCTGTGAGCTGGAGGCTAAAAAACTGTGAGCTAGCTCACACTAACTCAGCTTAGAGGGAACACTGGTGTCCAGCAGCAGAACCCAATGCCATTGTGGCAAATGCCAGCTCAACAGGATTGATGTCAAGCACAGAATCACAATGAGGGGGAGGGGGGTTGCAAGGGCAGCAGAACCAGTGCAGTAGTGCCAAGCAGCGCAACCCAGTGCCAATGTGGCAGGAGTGCAAACCTAACAGAACTCACCAGTGTCACACCAGAGAATCCCAGCAGGGTTTTTTTTTAAGAATCAAGGGCAGGGTGGACAGGCACTTTTGTTTTAGCCCACCTGAACCAAGGCCTGCCCAATACGCAGAAGCCCAGTCATGTTTTGTTTTCTTCCAAAGCCAAGGGCAAACCCAGAGAAACCTTACATGCCATTTCCCCAGGGAAGGCCCCAGAAAGTGAGAGGGAAGGGGCTGAGTCCTCCCTGATCCTCCTCCTCCTCCCGCACACCAACCATCACGGCCTCCGTGGAGGAGCCTCAGCCTCAGTGCTGCAGCTGCCCTTCATCACAGGCTCGCCCTTTCCCACCTCCCACCCCTGCAAAGTAGGATGTCTCACAGCAAACTAGCTTCATTATCGATGGTGCTCCTGTGGGTTCTGCTGGTTTCTGTTTGGTACCCAGGTCTCACTATCCTACTCTACCCTTTCATCTCCATCAAGATGAAGAACAGGTTTTGTGCTGCTGTTTTAATTTCAGCATGCAGTTTTGGTTTGGGGTGGCTGGTGACTCGGCGAGTGAACTTGAGCACACCACCTTCAACATCACCTGGTGCTGCACACCTGTCAGGGTTTTGTAGAGGTATTTTGGTGCAGGTGGATTCAGAATGGCAGTGGGGAGATTGGTGGAGCATTTCTGTGCCTGTCCAACTGGTCAATGGCCCTGCTACTTCTTTCTGGTCTCATTTTAATTTTGGGAAGAGTTTTTTGCCCCAGCCTCCCAGCACAGACCAAGAGAGGATGCAGGCCCAAGTATGTCCTCACTTCAGTCAGCCTCAAAGTCCAGGACCAGGTAGTTGAACAGTGGCAAGTTGACCCTCAGGAAGACCAACTGCTCAACTGTACAGGGGAGCAGGTGTGAGCAATGTGAGCTGACAGTGTATCACCCCCCTGGGGAAAAACTAGCTCACTCTGCATCCTTGTTGGAGGCCGTGAGAGGAGCTTCTGAGCAACAGCAGAGAGGTCCGGCCAGACTGCAGACAGGTGGCCTGCGACTTGTAGGGCTCCACAAGGTACTCTCACAGCCACTGCAGCCCCTGTGTCTTCCTGTCTCATGTGCCTTCCACTCCCAGAGGGGCTGAGTATCCGCCTGATGAGTGCCGTCTCACAGGTCATTGCGTTGGTAGCTGCAGGGGGGGATGCTGCCTAGTGGGGCAGGGGGGGATGAACAACAGTGGAGCTACTTTCACCCTCCTCTTCCTCATCTTGCGCCAACATGCCCCTCTTGGCTTGCATGCACTCAACTTGCTGGGAGAGCTAGTCTCTCCAACGAATCAGCCCATCGTCTTACTTGCGATCTTGCCCTTGATGCGTGGATCACACATGGTCGCCAACATGTAGACCTTCTGCAGTGTGAGAGGCTGAAGGCTGGCCTTGAGTCCATCTTGCAACCTTTTCACCAATGCACACACTGCTGGAACCATGTGTGCATGTTCTGCAGCTGGTTCCAGAAAGGAGGCCAAGTCCTCACGAGACATTTGGATCATGAAGATGACCAGAGCCAGACTTGCCATGTTAGAGCAGCAGCTGAAGCCAAAGCACATTCTCCAAACCATGTGCTATTTGCCCATTCACAGAAGAATGCCAAAAAAGAACAAACTTATGTGATTGCCCAAAGAGCAGTGTTCCCTAAACCTGAAATCCTATTTGCCAGATTGCCACTGCTCCCCCCCCCCCCCCCCGTTCCCTGGGAAATGGGTGGGGAAAACAAGATAGTTACTTAGTTGGACTTCACATTTGAAGTCAACAATTTTGAAAGTTGCAAACCTGCAATGCAGCACCATTTTCAAAACCATTGCAATGTTAGTGTTAAAAGGGACCCAATAGATGTTGTTTACCGTGACATCCAGAAAGCTTTTGATAAAGTTCCTCATCAGAGGCTCCTAAGTAAGCTAAAAGGACCTCTTGTGGATCAAAAATTGGCTAATTAATAGGAAACAGAGAGTAAGTATAAATGGGCTATTTTCACAGTGGAGGGTGGTAAGCAGTGGGGTACCGCAGGGCTCAGTATTCGGTCCAATGCTTTTTAACGTGTTCATTCTATGCCAATAAAGGTTTTGAACTTGAACTTGTTCATTAATGATTTGGAGTTAGGAGTAAGCAGTGAAGTGGTGAAATTTGCAGATGACACAAAGTTGTTCAGGGTGGTGAGAACCAAGGAGGATTGTGAGGCACTCCAAAGGGATCTGTTGAGGATGGGCTAGTGGGTGTCAGCGTGGCAAATGGGGTTCAGTGTGGCCAAGTGCAAAGTCCTAACTATAAATACACGTTGATGGTATCTGAACTGGTGGAGACTGACCAAGTGAGAGATCTTGGAGTCTTAGTAGATAACTCAATGAAAATGTCGAGACAGTGTGCGACTGCAATAAAGAAGGCCAATGCTATGCTGGGGATTATTAGGAAGGGAATTGAAAACAAATCAGCCAGTACCATCATGCCCCTGTATAAATCGATAGTTCAACCTCATTTGGAGTGTACAGTTATGGTCACCACACCTCATTGGAAAAAGTGCAGAAAAGGGCAACTAGAATTATAAAAGGGTTGGAACATTTTCCCTATGAAGAAAGGTTAAAACGGGGCTCTTTAGCTTGGAGAAATGACAGCTGAGGGGTGACATGATCGAGGTTTATAAGATTATGCATGGGATAGAGCAGGTCAAGAAAGAAGTACTTTTCTCCCTTTCTCACAATACAAGAACTTGTGGGCACTCAATGAAATTGCTGAGCAGTCAGGTTAAAACGGATAAAAAGAAGTCGTTCTTCACCCAAAGAGTGATGAACACATGGAACTCACTGCCACATGAGGTGGTGGTGTCTACAAGCATGGATGGCTTCAAGAGGGAATTGGATAAGCATATGGAGCAGAGGTCCATCAGTGGCTATTAGCCACAAGGTATAGAGAGGAACTCTTGGTCTGGGGCAAGTGATGTTCTGTATCCTTGGTGCTTTGGGGGGGGCAACAGTGGGAGGGCTTCTAGTGTCCTGGCCCCACTGGTGGACCTCCTGATGGCACCTGGTATTTTTGGCCACTTGAATACAGAATTAAACTTTGTTGGTCTTAACGCACCACTGGACTCAGACTTTGTTTAATTATATGTCGTGAGTTATGTTGAGCCGTGGGAAATGGTCAGATACAAATATTTTAATTAAACACATTATTGTTATTTGAATAGTAGACCCAGATTCCGATTCCCATGCTGCCGTGGTATCTCGTCTCCATCTCTTGGCATTATTCCCTTCTCTCTTTTATCCTCACAATAGTCCTTTGAGGTAGGCTCGGCTGAGGGGGACTGGCCAGAGGTCACTCAGCAACCTTCTTTGGCAGCGGAGTGATGAGTATCTTGGTCTCCCGGGTCCCAGTCCGACACGTTGATCGTGGCTCCAAGCTGGCTCCCCCGATCTGACTGTCGGCCTGTCTTGCATCTAGTATAAACCAGCCTACCCGGGTTTTAACAAAAACTACATCTTACCTTTGAGGGTCTTGAGGGCAGTGGAAAGCAAACTGCACAAGGCCTCTTTCGCCTCCTAGTGGTAGGGTGGTCAGAGGGCAGCACAAAGGAAAAGAAAAGTTGAACAACAATCTCCCCGTCGTTGTCCCCCCCCATCACCAGTGTCCTAATATATTTTTTTCAAATGCACCAGCCCTTTACATGAGCGTGAGCATCTTGTTGCTTTTAAAAGCATAGCAGGGGTTTGACGACGTGGCCTGGATCCAGCTGCGCAATTCTCAAGATTTAATTACATTTAAGTTTTCAGAGGCAAAGCCAGTGATTTCTGCTGCTCCCCCACACGTACGCTGCAGACCCTCACTGGGTCCTCAGTGTGGTTTGTGTGGATTCGCTGCCCCCCCGCCCAATGACGTTTTGGTGGCTCAGTGAACTACGTTGGGACTGAGGAAGCAGGAAGGTCCTGAACCGCAAAGTCCACAAATCCTCCAGTCAGTTATTTCTGTTTGTGAATGACGGGAGGATGCAGGGCAATATGTGGAATGCTGAATTTTCTTCCTTCCCGGAGGAGTCCCAGAGTCAGTCTTTTGACGGGGTTCAGGTAGCAGTGCTGGGGAGACCCTATCAGAGTAGGCAGGACCACCCTTAGCAGAGTGGCATGGAGGACTCTTGAGTGGCAGAAGAATGAAGTCGGCGTGGCATCTGCTGAGAAATAACCAAGCCACAGCTGCTTCTTAACTCTGGTGCTGCCACTTTTCACTGTGCAGAAGCAAAAAGTGCTTCCCAAAATTAGCTGTGGGTGGCCAAGTATTGAACATCAAATGTGGTGGACCTCTTGGCTTGCATTTGAGTGGCATAACCAATTTTTATGATTAATTTTGTAGGTGTTCACAAGAGCTGGAATAAGTGATGATCGTCTAAGAAGAGCTATTGATCTTAAAACTAAGTTGGAGAGTGCATTGGAGAAACATAAGGAAATGAATATTGAATATAAAGAGAAGACGAGGAAAGTGGTGAGTTGAACTAATCCCCCCCCCCCCCGTAGCTTACTGGGAATAGTTTGTATCCTGAAAGTGCTGTGTTTGTATGTACCCTGGTCAATTTTATATATGGGGGGGGCAGTAGGGAGTTGGAAATGAGGGGGAGCAGTAAGGAATTCTGGAAATGTGGCGGAAAGCATTACATGTAAATGTTTTATTTGATCTTGATCCAACTAAGTCTTCCAGAACCTTTAATAAAATCATTTCCCTAAGAGGAAAGGCTGAAGAGTCTGGGCTTTTCAGTTTAGAAAAGAGACGAGTTAAGGGGGAGACATGACAGAGGTTGATAAAGTTATGCACGGGGTGGAGAGAGATGAGAAAGAGAACCTTTTTCTCCCTCTCCCAAAAGACTGGCACTCGAGGGCATCCAGGGAAGCTGATGGGCAGTAGGTTCAGGATGGACAAAAGGAAATGCTGCTTGACACAGAGGGTGATGAAAATGTGGGATTCGCAGCCAGAGGCTGTAGTGATGGCTACAGGAATAAACAGCTTTAAAAGGGACTTAGATTCATGGAGGATGTCTATCATTCGCTGCTAGCCATGGTGACCGATGCTCCCTTTGAGCTGTGAAGTCTTGTGAGCAAAAATCCTACTTTGTGAGCTCCTGGCATTAAAGGTGTGAGCAAACGATTTGGCTGCTGCATAAATTAGTTTGCTCTGGAGCCCTCCTTCCTGAGCTAAGACAAGAATGTGTGAGCCGGGGGCTAAAAAACTGTGAGCCAGCTCACACTAAACTTAGAGGGAACGCTGATGGTGACTGAGGGGAACTGCCACATTCAGAGGCATTGAATCTCTGAATCCCAGTGCCAGAAGGCAACATCAGAAGAATGCCTCGGTCTCTGTGCCCTGTTGGCTGTTGTGTGAGACAAGATGCTGGACTAGAAGGACTATTCGGTTGATCCAGCAGGGCTCTTCTTATGTTCTTATTTTCATAAATTTTTTTGAAACTTTTGGATGCTCTCGTTTTATGAGAACACCATAGATATCTGCATGTGCATCATAGGCTTCCAAGTTTCTTAAGGGCAGAGCTAGGAGTCTGCACTTTGCTTAAGCATTTGTGAATAACAGCATCAAAAAGTGCACAAAGAGCTGTAGAGCTGATTTCCGACATGGTAGGTTGGTTGGCTTGAGGCATGGCGCGAGATTGGGAGGGGCCTCCTGCGGACTACCAGGAGTGAGTACATTTTACTATCTACATTTATCAATGGCATCTATCTGTGGGGACTGAGGGGAGCCTCCACATTTAGAGACATTAAGCCTCTGAATCCGAGAGCCAGGAGGCAACATCAGGGGAAGGCCTCGGCCTCTCCGCCCTGTTGTTGGCTGTTCAGAGGAACTGGTTGGCCCCTGTGTGACGCAGGATGCTGGACTAGATGGACCCTCCCTGGTCTGACCCAGCAGGGCTCTTATGAGGGGAAGGCCTCGGTCTCCATGCCCTGTTGTTGGCCCTCCAGAGGAACTGGATGGACCGTGTGTGAGACGGGAGGCTGGACTAGAGGGACCCTCCCTGGTCTGACCCAGCAGGGCTCTTATGAGGGGAAGGCCTCGGTCTCCATGCCCTGTTGCTGGCCCTCCAGAGGAACTGGATGGACCGTGTGTGAGACGGGAGGCTGGACTAGAGGGACCCTCCCTGGTCTGACCCAGCAGGGCTCTTCTGAGGGGGGAAGGCCTCGGTCTCCATGCCCTGTTGTTTGCCCTCCAGAGGAACTGGATGGACCGTGTGTGAGACGGGAGGCTGGACTAGAGGGACCCTCCCTGGTCTGACCCAGCAGGGCTCTTCTGAGGGGGGAAGGCCTCGGTCTCCATGCCCTGTTGTTGGCCCTCCAGAGGAACTGGCTGGCCCCTGTGTGAGACGGGAGGCTGGACTAGAGGGACCCTCCCTGGTCTGACCCAGCAGGGCTCTTCTGATTTTTTTTTACATCAGATGGATGGTTTGTTGGCTGCTGCCTAATTCCTGTTGCAAAGCTTGTCCCCGGGTGCCTCGCTGTTGGGTCCTGTCAGGCATCATGAAATTAGTCATGCTTTAGGTCAAGTCAGCTTGTACTAATTAGCCATTGGGTGGAGATTCTTCCATCACACAAGGGCTAATGTTCCATTAGAAAGCTGTATCTTAACAACTTGTGCTTTTCTTTTGTTCATAAATTTGGGATTTTAAGAAATCCACTTCAGTTTCCAACCTCTGACTTCTGGGCAGGCAGCTTGCAACAGTGTTCCCTACTTCCGTTTTAACCGCCCAACAGCCCCTCCCCCTGTGAGGTAGGTCAGGCTGAGGGGGTGACTGTCCCAAGGTCACCCAGCGAGCTTCCATGGCAGAGTGGTGGGGATTCGAACCTGGGTCTCCCTGAGCCTAGTCTGGTAGGCTGATCACTGTGCCACAAAGATTTGTAGGTACTCTTTTACTGTAAAGGGTCTAGTTGTGTGGATTTCAGCAGAAGCTAATATACAAGCTTTGTTTTCACATTTGGTGTTTCTGATAGTTGTTGGTTGGCTGCTCCTTTCTGCCTCTGTGGAGTTCTTGTAAGGTTCTTGTTCTTCTGTAGAGTTTCTTCAGTGTCGTTTACAACACAGGCTGCTATCCTAGTAGCTGAGGACTCCTCCTTTCTTGTTTTCAGCCTTCACGCCTTAATGTCACATGCCACTGAGTTGGATTCCCATGTTCCAAAAATTGTAAGCCGCCTGCTCACCGTGCGGCTGGGGCAAGGGACACACAAGCAGTTCCCCGTTCCAGGCTAATAAATAAATCAGTACATTGGGGGAGAGTCTGTTCCAGGGCTGTTGTAAGAACAGTTGGACCTATGAGGACCTCTGGCCAAAGAGAGAGGCCAAGGTGACCCATTTGCCAGGTACTGTCGCCTGAAGAGGTGGTGCAGGATTCAACTGGGTGAAGTCCGGGGCCTCCCATCGCTCTCTCCTGCCAGCCCAGCTTTCCTTCTAGTGGCAGAAGTGCCACTTGTCACACCACCCTTTGCGCTGCTGCCTTCCCCTGTCCCCCCTCTGCCCTGGCAGAAGGGCTGCTGGGCCTTGAGACGGTGTGGCTGGAAGTTGATTTTTCTTTTGCAGGTGCCCACTCAAGGGCTTGGGGTCCTGTGGTAGTCATCTCTTCCGAAGGCTGGCCACTCGAGAAGCTACGGAACAAAGTTTGAGTCCAGGGGCACCTCTAAGACCAACGAAGTTTAATTCTGGGTATACGCTTTCGTGTGTGTACACACTTCCATCTGCACATTAGGAGTAAGCGCATTTGCTCATGTCCCCCAACTCTGTAATTCCATATACCTTTTGTTACTTTGAAAAAATGTAACAGGCCAAAAGCTTTTATTTTGGGGGGGTGGAGGGGAGCTTTAAATTAAAGAAGTGTGCGTGCACACACTAAGGCTTATGTCTTGAATAAAATTTTGTTGGTCTTCAAGGTCCCCCTGGACTGAAACTTTGTTCTGCAGCTTCAGACCCACACGGCTGCCCCCACCTGGGTCCACTTGAGAAGCCGCTTTTCTTTGTTTCATGGCTGTGTTTGGTTCTCTCCTCTCCCTCTCCCGCTTAGTGACCAAGTGCTGGCCTTGCTCTGCCCCAAGAACCACCCCTTGAGCAGGGGAGGCTGGGGCAAGATTGTGCACAGAATCCAAACGCAGCTGCCGTCCAGCGCCTCCCTCCTCCACTCAAATACTCAGCCAGACCCTGACAAAGACATTTTCTTCCTCTGAGGCCAAGTGCTTCTTTCCCGTTCTTTGTTTGAACAGTGGCTTCTGTCCTGTGTTCACTTTGATTCACATTGGTTAAATATTTAGCAGCTGGTGTGGACCATGCCACTGACTTTTGCAGTTTAATTTGAAGTTTCCTGCTACTGGAAGTCTTGAAAGTTGAAGATCATTGTTTCTAGAGACTAAATAGCAGCAACACTCCCTCTAAGCTGTGGAGTCTTGCGAGCAAAAATTCTACTTTGTGAGCTACTGGCATTAAAGTTGTGAGCGAGCGATTCGGCTGCTGCATAAATTAGTGCATGCCAAATGATGTCATATGTTAACTGGTGGCTGAAAGCTGAACCAGGCAAATCTTTGTTTAAGGATTCTTCTCCATCATCATTTTCCTACCTATTCCATAGTCTCAGCTCCGTGGAGCATAGATCATTGGCCATAGCTTTGGGCTGTCAATTCAGATTATCTTATCACGTCATATTTAACATAGTTAAGCTTTCAGTTTTCATGACGTCTGAGGCTGTTACCAATTAAATTGATAAACCCATAGTTACTGGGATTTACTTGGGTATGGAATTACTGGATTGAATCTGCACTAAGTTTTCTGTTCACATGAGGTATTTTTGTCAGTAGAGTAGAACATTCCAGGCCCTCCTCCCCCCAACACACACAACAGCCCACTGATCTCAAAATGCTGATTCTGGGGATGGCAGCCCTCAAATACAGCACAAAAGATAAATCGGGGGTCTGCAACAGGATTTGGTAGAAATTAACACAGCCTTTCCATTAACAGAAAATACCATCTGGATCCAACCCATCCTCTGAATTAGGCCCTTGCACTTATTTATAGTCCAAGAAATATGTTACTTATTTACAGTAGGACTGTTGCTGTTTTGAGCCAGGATATTCCAATGCAGAGCTTCAGATTTCTGTCTGAGAATGTCTGGATGCTGGCATCATTTGAGTTCAGATGGTATGAAAACATCGGGCATGTATTTGATTTCTTTCCCCCAGAGTTGCATAGCAGTGTTTTCTAGGAACAAATAGATTTTTTTCCTGACACTGTCATTCCAGCCACACATGGCATCTACTAAAAGGAATAACCGATTCCAATAGATTTTCCAGAATTACTCCAGTGGCCAGTAGAGGGCGCCATCCTACGTTTGGACTCTTCATGCTGGTCATTGGACATTAGTTCAGGTGTTACAACCTGTTGACAGGTGAACAGTGGAATAGTATCCCTGTATTTTTCTCTCCAACAAAATTAAATAAAACAGGATTGAA